CTTCACACTCAAATATCGATACGACAAAGTGGTGGTACGAAGTATTGTTAGATCTGTAAGCAAAATAAATAAAAACGAAGTTACTCTTAAAAAGCTAGTAAATACTACAGTATCTTTGTATTGTATACACTTTAACTAGCCAGTGCATTTTTCGTGTGTATCCTGACTCTCTGATTAACCTTCCTGTCTATGTAGCACACCTTGCCACGCGTTCTAAGGCATGAACTTCTAGTGAGCTGGATAAGAGAGAGCATAGACCAGTGTGCCAGGTACTTATGTGTTAACATTCTTTTTTTCTTCACTGTTGTAGCTAGATATACATTACATTATTAGAAAGTATATTACTATCGTATTTAAAAAATCGTTTCTTCTGCTCTTGACTTTACATTCTATCAAGATTCTTATTTTCCACAGATTGCAACTATAAAAACCGCTTGCAAAAACATTCCGTATTAGAAAGCAAAAAATAAACTTGAACTTCTTGAGTGACTCTATGTCTGCGTATACTAAACAATGGTTTTACTCATCCCACGAATAACTTACAACTTCTTTTTCTCTCACGTTTGTATTTTATGTAACAATTCGTTAACTTAAAGATTTCTGTTAATGTTATCAATAAAAATTGTAATGACATTTCTTTTATTGTGTCTGAGTTTCTAATTGTTTAATTTAACTTGACATGAAAATGGATAATTGAATTAGATTTGAACAAACATTTTACTGATTTTTCTTTGACGATCGATTGCTTTCCAAAGTTATTCGTGTGAATGACTTAATCGGGATTCTGATATTACAGCACACGCACACTGTCGCTTGTATAAGACATAGACTATATGTTGTTAGCATAATCATCCACGTCCATACAAAAGAAAAACATGCACACCTATCTTCCGTGTCAGATTAGGGAGCCGTTTTACGCACATCTGATATCATACTGGCGAAAGCACATGTCTCGTCGATCAATATTTAACATTATCATTCATTATTCCTGTACTCAATATATATTCATCCTTATGTTGAACTCATTCCATCATACATTCATCAATCTGTCACTGTATATTGTATTGAACGAATATACTCAAATTGCAAAATATATTGTTAAAAATATTGTATTATATCAATCATATGATATCGCAAAACAAAATAAGACGTTATTTTCGAATAAACCAAGAAATGTTTGAAAATATTAAATATCATTATTAAATATCATTTCGACTTATATTCCAAAATTTCAAGTTCATTTAATCTTTGTAAAAAATTTATTCATGAATGTGTTTCTATATATGCAATTTGAAACAAATTTTTACGACAATTGCCCGTATCTATTTCACAACGCGTTCTCGTCTAAAACCAGTTCTGTAAAACGAAATCCCACATACACACGTACGCAGGCACACGCAGATACATACAAAGAATACATCCTTTTTTTTAGCTCCTTTTTTTGTACAATAATAGTTTGAGAATATTTTTAGCATACAAGTAATAATACAAAACGATACAAAATTCTAACAAGTGATTCATCTTTGTCATATAATTGAGTTACTTCAAGCAATGAAGATCTAATAAAACATCGTAGACACGAGCAGCAATGCATATATAAATATGCGTACATATGTATGTATACGCACACGTATATATTGTGAACACGTGCTCTTTCCTTTGTATTCGTAGAATTTTGTTTATTCCAACAATGAAATTTAATACTTTTTCTCATCTTGAATATTTATCCGTGTATACAAAACTAAAGTTGTTTAGCACATTTTAGCACTAAATTTAGAATACACAATTTCATTAGTCTTTTTTTCCCTGTAGAACACAATGTTCGTTCCTAAACTTTTTGTCATTTCTCTTTTTGTTTTTTCTTTTAGTTATCACAAATTATTGTTCCTCGTATTTATTATTGTTTCGATCATTATAAGGGAGCTCAGATGCCTTTCCAATACTTCTTTTTTTTTGTGTATCGATGCAATTGCAACTTCCTTTTAATTACACAATTCACGATTCCCGCACGATGTCCGCACGAGCCACACTGGGAACAGGCTGTTCTTTTTCTTTTGTTCGGTAACTTTTCTTTGTCGTTATATGCCTTTATCTCGAAGTAAATCACTTTCTACCCACAATGTCGTTAAAAAAAAATATATATATATGTATATATACTAATCGAGCTTATAAGTGTAACATCGCAAGGTAAAGAGTGGGACTATGGATTTGGAGGAGGTGTGGTCGGTGTTGTATGCGCGGAGGGTGATGCACTGGCGACCATTGTCGGACTGGCCGGCTGTTGTAATGGCAGGAACGCTGATCCCAAGCTGGGTTTCAACTGGAATGCTGGAACGCACGGCTTTGGGCAATATTCTAATTTGCTCAAATCTATCATCGGCCGCCTGCACATATAGAAAAAAATCGTTACTTAAATCGTAAATATTACAGATAATATTGCAAAGGAGAGTTATCTCTATCGTACCTCGCATCTTCCACAAATTTGAGGTTGACTTTCTCACAGCCATCGGGGGGTTCCCTCGCGAGGAACCTGTTAATGTGAGGAGAAGTGCCGAGACGTCCTTCTCTGTCTTGTTCAGGTGTTGAACCACGGCTTCCACCTACAAATCAAAAAAGAATGCTAAAGTTATGTCATTATGAAAAATGTAATTCATCGAATATGTCATTCATTATGTTGATCAAAATATATAACAAGAATTCATGCTACTCACTATTTTAATAATAATTACTTATGAGTATGTGTGTATATATACATATGTATATAAAATATGTACATACATGGATGTACACACACACACACACACACACACACACACACACACACACACACACACACACACACACACAACATATATATATATATATACACTTTAAGATAGAAGTCGGTATGTTATTCAGTGTAGCACAACTGGTTTGCACTGAATATCAATCTTCATTGTGACGTCCACTAATGTAATTCGCAACGATTGTAAACACGTAAGATAG